GTCTCCATTTGTTGCTCACTGATTCGCCTGAGCTCATTCTTCATCGCGGCGAATAACAATGAAGGATCGGTGGTTGCTTGTTGTTGCTCCATGTCTTTCTTGACGCCCCTGCAAAGGTTAGTAACAAGCAAAGAAAATGCAAATATAATCCTTACTTCACTCCCTTAGTGTATTCCTCACGCTCGTGTGTGGTGCTCAATTCACTCTATTAGACTTACCAAGTACCTTTACCTGTTGGTTTAGGTAGTTGAGAAATGTTGCGCGAGTCCAATGGTCGTTACCGACTTTTCCCCACAAGAGTAAACAAGAGCGAAGGGCAATTGGGTGAAATTTTGTGAAGGGAAGGACGGTTTTGGAAGGCTTAAGGGGGGTGGATAGATTGGAAATATTGCCAAGAAAGGAAACTCTAAAAATCCTAAGAGGTAGGAGTGGTTTCCTAAAGTGGATGAGAGAATATATGGGAGTATCCTAAAATAGAGGAGAAAATATAGGGAAGTGTCCAAGAGTTATTCAAGTTTGTTTGCTTAGTCTCCTAAACCAAAGAGTGGAAAACAAGTTAGAGTTGGAAACTCCTTTGAAGACCTTTCTTAAGCAACTTCCTAATCCTTCTCCAAACAGATTCGGTTCCTCCTCTCTCTTACCCGCAAACTTCCAGAAATTTACCTCTCAAACCCAACCCAAGGTCGGTTAGTCTTGCCCTAAAATCCCCCTCTCACAGCCGCACCCTTCACACCCTCACAAGCCGGATTTGGTAGCTTGGTTTTCAACCGAATTGGGCCTTCAAAATTTTCCAGATTTCTGCCTTCTCAAATCCTTCCCTAAGTCGGCTAACCCTCCTAATAAACTCCCTCTCTCACAGCCGCAACTTGCCAAGCAATTCAGCTCTCTCTCTACTCCAAACCAGATTTTTAATTCGGCAAGGCAGTTTGGTATTCGTCCAAGACAATGGCTTCCCAAAACAATGCAAGCAATGTCACTCATGAATTCCCCAAGCGTCTCGCTCAAGAAACACCCAAGAAATTCACGCCTAAACCAAGAAAACCCCGTATGGATGCAAGATCATACAAGAAACTTTTTATTCGAAGAGAGGTGCAAGTGTTTAAGGTTCAAGATAATCGAGAACCTCAAAAAAAGGTTGTTCAAGTGATCAAGGCTCAAGGTGACCAAGAATTTCAAGAAGAGGTAGGCCAAAACTTTTGAATTCTTTTCCTTGGTGTAATTGCTGGTTTGGGTACATGATGCAATAAGACAGATTTGGTAATAAAAGTGCAGTGTTCCCTCTTGTTTTTCTTGCTACTCGATTGCGCTTCTTGTTTCCTTTCGTTTCTGTTTTGTTTTGTTGTTGTTTTTTTTTTTAACAAACGGATACCACAACACTTGGCCGAACCAGAAATATGGTCAGCCCTCAATACGCAAGAACGCACAACCCAACTCCCTCAAGCTTGCAAGATTTCGTCAAGACTTTCAAGAAATTCAAGATAGTGATCAAGAACTTCAAGATCCTATAAACCTTGTAGATTTCCCTCAAGATTCACCAACCCAACAAGTATTAACCCCAAATCAGTTTAGATAAGATAAGCAAACAACTTGGATAAGCTAATAAGACTTGGACAGATTTGACAACAAAGCAAAAACCCTAGCCGCAACTTAGAAAACCCTATCCGTATTTTTTTTTTCAGCAGATTTGGCTATGGCCAATTGCTGGCCAGAATGGATGCAACAAGAGTACAAAATCTGGTCAGATTGGAGCTAGCAACAAGAACACACAACCGACCAGAATTGGACGCGACCAAAGACAAGAACTAACGGACAGAAATCTCTTTTTTTTTTTTTGACAAGCGATGCAAACAGATTTTGTTTGTGTTTTTTTTTGACTAACAAAGGCGCAACAAGAACAACAGCTACGGACAGATTGGGCACAACTTTGACCAAGAATTGGGCGCAACGATGAGGTACTAAACAACGGACAGATTTGCAACACAAGGAAACACACGAGCAGAATTTTTTATTTTTTTTTGACTAAGTCAAGGCAGAGGAAAAAATTAAGGAAATTAAGACAAACTACGGATATAACGGAAGATACCTCCACCAAAGCTCTGAAGCCAACTGATACGTTCCTCGATCGACACGTTTCGAGACACGTAGCACGTTTGCCCAAGGATCTAGCGAGGTTGTCCAACGCTTGGTCTGCGGAGCCTAGAGTCAAACGGACGACACGATTTGACTTAGGTGGTAGACGACACTCCGATGAAGGTGAATACTCTAGGGGAATAGGTCGGATGAACAATCAAGGACAGGACGCAAGATTGCTCAATAACCCTTGCCAAAGCAAGTTAAAGGCTCGAATTCTCTAGAAAGAAAACGAAAGTACTAGGAATTTTATTCATAAAACTTGTATCTTTAACCTTACAAAGCTAGCCTATTTATAGGCTAGAGATAACAAGAAAACCCTAAAGACACCCTAAGGAAAAAGTCGGCCAGCTTGTCTTCAAGATGGGCCGGCCCATGCCTTCTACTAAGGAACTAATCCAACTAAATAAATAACAACGACTAAGGCCCTACTCGGCCGACTCACAAAGAGGCCCACTTGATTCTTCATGGGCTTGGATCAAAGTGTAAGTTGCTTGATTGACTCTTTCCAAGCCTTCAATATCTCTATGGGCTCCATGTTGATCTTGGACAACTCGAACAAGGGCTTGGAGGGATTCTTTGAAGAGCTTGGCCCGTGCACGTGTGACAGGGCCCAATGGGACTCGGACTGGGCTCTGGGTCATGCACACATCAAAGTCCATGGTGATATGCTCCCATTTCCATTCAGGTATCTCCAGAAGCTGAAGTAGTCCCGAAGGTTTTTGGTGTTCGGCCTTAACCTGCTAGCATACAAGACAGGTTTGTACCAATTGGGCTATCTCCCTCTTCATCTTGTCCCCCCAGTACAATTGTCGCAAATCCTGATACATCTTGTTACTATCCGGATGGATTGTATATTTGGATCGATGAGTTTCCTCCAAAATTTCCCTTCTCAGGTTTTCATCATTAGGCACCACTATTCGATTCCGAAATCTCAAAATCCCCTCAGGACTTAAATTGAAATCCAAAATTTCTCCTTTCTTCACATTTTCCACCCATTTCTGAATCATCAAATCCTTCGTTTGAGCCTCTTTAATTCAATCCAATAGTGTGGATGTCACACGGATATTCCCAAAAGTTATCTTCTTATGTTCCAATTTTGGATTCCACTCCCCAACGGTTCCCAACAATTCTCACTCTTTCACCATTAACCCAGAAATCTGAGCCTTCCGACTTAGGGCATCAGCTACAACATTAGCCTTACCCGGATGATAGTTAATAGTACAATCATAATCTTCTAAGAATTCCATCCACCAGCGTTGTCTCATGTTCAACTCCTTCTGGGAAAAGAGATATTTAAGGCTCTTATGATCGGAATAGACCTCAAAGGTCACCCCGTACAGATAGTGTCTCCACTATTTCAGAGCAAAGACAACTGCTGCCAGCTCTAAGTCGTGGGTGGGATAGTTTTGTTCATGGATTTTCAGTTTTCTAGAAGCATAGGCTATCACATTCTGGTGTTGCATCAGTACGCATCCCAAACCTTCTTTAGAGGCGTCGGTGTAAACAGTGAAACTGTCCTTACCGTTAGGCAAGGCCAGGTTAGGGGCCATGGTCAACCTTCGCTTCAACTCCTGAAAGCTGTTTTCACACTTATCACTCCACAGAAACTGACCACCCTTCTTTGTCAGATCAGTTAAAGGACTGGCAAGTTTCGAAAAATCTTTGATGAATCGCCGGTAATAACCTGCCAACCCTAAAAAACTTCGAATTTTTGTAGGATTATCGGGTCTCTTCCACTCAGTCACTGCCTCTACCTTGGCCGGATCTACAGCAATTCCTTCTTTTGAAATCACATGCCCCAGGAAAGAAACCTTCTCTAGCCAAAACTCGCACTTACTAAATTTGACGTACAACTAGTGCTCCCTCAGGGTTTGTAAGACCTCTTTCAAATATTGCACATGCTCCTCACGGGTTTTTGAATAAACCAAAATGTCATCAATAAAGACAATGACAAATCGGTCCAGATAGGGTTTGAAAATCCGATGCATAAGGTCCATAAAAGCGGCATGGGCATTGGTTAGTCCAAAAGGCATCACGGTGAATTCGTAATGCCCATACCGAGAATTGAAGGCAGTCTTAGGCACATCTTCCTTCCTAATCAACAATTGACAGTATCCCTGTTGGATGTCTAGTTTCGAGAAGACCACTGCGCCTTGCAACTGATCAAATAACTCATCAATGTGGGGTAGTGGATACTTATTCTTAACGGTCACGTTGTTCAATCCTCGGTAATCGATACACAGTCTCAAGGTCCCATCCTTTTTTTTAACAAAGAGAACAGGTGCCCCCCAAGGTGATCCATTCTCATGAATAAAATCCCGCTCTAAAAGGTCTTGCAACTGCACCTTCAACTCTTTGAGTTCAGCAGGTGCCATTCGGTAGGGAGTCTTGGAGATAGGAGAAGTTCCCGGTAATAGGTTAATTTCAAACTCAATTTCTCTTTCCGGAGGTAGATTCACTAATTCATCGGGAAATACGTCTGGATACTCACTCACTACTGGAACATTTTCTATTTTCAGTCTATCGGTAGGAGTGTTAATGAGAAAAGCTAGGAACCCTTGTGCCCTTCTACTCAGTAGTTTCCTAGCCCGAATTCCCGAAATCATAGCAGATGAGGCTAGACTACCCCTCACATCTAACCTTAAAGTTGCCTCCCCAGGGATACGAAATTCTACTATTTTCCTCTTATAGTCTAGTTGGGCATCGTATTGAGCCAACCAATCCATGCCCAATATCACATCGTACCCCTTAATGGCCAAACATATCAAATTCCCTAACAACTTTCTCTCTCCTACCTAGATTTCACAATTTGTATACATTTTGCTAGAAATCAAACATTGATCCCCCGTAGGAGTACTAACCTCCAGCTAATAGGGGAGAGTGACAGGGTTTATATCAATTCCACACATAAACTCAGGGTTAACAAAGGAATGGGTGGCACCAGGGTCTATCAAAATTCTAACTAGGAGGTGGAAGACAGGGATCATACCTTCCATCATCTCTGCCGAGTCAGGAACTGGACGTTGCTCGATGGAGTATACTCGAGTAGGCACCTTCGGTTTTGCTCCTTCTACCCGTGACTGATCTGAGGTAGCCTTCGATGACTGAGTAGCTCCTTTCGCTTCTCGAGACTGAACCGGACAACTGGCTAGCCGGTGCTCCGCACTCCCGCAGCGTAAGCACTTGTTCTGCTTCCTCCAACAGTCATTCTCCGTGTGGTTTGGTTTCCCACAGAAGCTACACGACCCACGAGAAACGGTGGCTGAACTTCCTTGTGAGACGCTTCTCTGCTGGCCTCGTCCCGTTTGGCCACCTCGGGGTGGAGTCCCTCTTGCCGTACCCGAAAACCGTCCCCCTCCGGCTCCCCTTCCAAATTTGGGAGGGGTACTCTTATTCCCTTGAGTTGAGCTACTCCCGGAAGCTCCACGTTTTCTATTTTGAAAATTCCTTACTTGAAGCCTGGCATTCTCAGATCGTAAAGCTTTCTCAACTGCATCACTAAAGGTGGTGATTTGGGCCACAGCCAAATCCTTTTGAATTTCTACGTCAAGCCCCTGAAGGAAACGTCTCGCCCTCCTTTGTTCGGTTAGAATAAGTTCAGGGGCAAACTTGGACAATCGTGTGAATTGGCTCTCATATTTGGCCACCGATTGAGTGTCTTGGCGTAGACGAATAAATTCGTCTTCCTTTTTCTCTTGGACCAAGGGCGGAAAGTATTTGGCATTGAATTCCCTTACAAAATTTACCCATGTCCGTGGCGTCTGTTCTCTCTCCCACTTGGTCCGGATAATGTTCCACCAAGAGCGAGCGGCCCCTTCTAATTGGAAGACCGCAAAAGTAACTTGCCTTTCTTCCGAGTAGCGTAAGGCGGCAAAAATATCTATCATCTTCTCTAGCCACTGTTCGGCCATGTCTGGATCGGGTCCTCCAAGAAACTTTGGTGGAGAGAATTTTTGAAACCGTTCAAGAGCTCGATCTTCGCTCTCGACATGATTTCCAGGGTTTTCGGGGTTACCAACTGGTGGATTAGGGTTGAGGCCCTGTTGTTGCACTACCTGGGCTAGAAGATCGGTCATCCGCTGGATAGCAGCGGCTACCTGAATATTGGGGTCGATTTGGGGTTCAGTATTTGGTTCGGGCATAGCGGTCCCCGCATCCCATTTAATCGTGGGTTGCCTACCCCCACGTCCACGGCCTCGGGCACTACGAGTGCCTTCCATCAATCTAGGTCAATCTAGGGTTGAGGCACAATTGTAACATTAGAAAAGCAGTTAACCCTTCACAGATAATAAGCATAGACAATTACTCCAATACCACATAAAAAAAAAGAAACACATAGAACATACATTCATATAACACAGAGTAGTCATACAGTAGTTCAGTCACACATAATAGTCATACAGTAATTCAGTCGAACATGTACAAAAGATCCCTTCAAACAAAGCGGGATTTTCCAAAAGTCACTATCCACCCTAGGAAAAGGCCACATAGCTAACAACGACCTCTCTTTCCAGGTCCCCTACACCCCGGGTCAAAACACGGCTCAAGGAACTTTAACCTAGTTCCCAACTGAGCCTACAGATTCACCCCCATGACTAGGACTGGGCGTGACTCCTTCTCCAGGTGCCCCAACACTCGAAGCCTCCACTACATGCAACTGCTCTTGAAGAGCATTCACTCGCTTTTGCTCCATGACTAAATCGTCTTGGAGCTCCGCAATTCGGTCGGCTTGCATCCTAAGGACGCCTCTCAGTCTAAGGATCTCAGTGTGATCCTGAACGGCTGCGTGTCAGAGCCTCCTCCTCTCCTCTAGCACCGCTACAACCACATGATCGGCATAGGAGTACCTCTAGCAACGGGTACAACGTCGAGTACGACTAAAAGTATACCACAGCCGGATCGGACCTCTAGGTCTCTCCTGGTAGTCGGTAACGCGATAACATCTTCGCGTCGGCTCACCTCCGCTCCCACCAGCTCCGTCCATACCTATAAGAGAGTCATGAGTGATCACTCAGACAATACAATAAAACAAAAGCGTTTGCTAGCACTATATTCACCAAATCTCAAAATCAAGTCCTAATTTGCCCAGAGTAACTTAAACCTGGGCTCTGATACCAACTGTGACGGCCCCATCTCCCCCTAAGGCGAACCAGAGGGTTCAACGGACTGCCTGCCTAGCTCTCGCCAGGACTACGGAACTGAAACATACAAAACGCACCTAACTCACGATAGAAAATTCAATAAAATGAGCGATCAACCCTTATTAAGTCGCTCTTCTTTCAAACATATGACTACGAATGAAGGTACAGCGCTCGAGCACTCAAATCGGTCATGAAAATGAAAAACAAAAATTTGTCGCGGATGAACAGTAACAGCCACGTCACTATTCGGCCGGAATTTGGCCGGATTTCTGGCCGGATTCTTGGACGGATATGAGGCAGTGGCCAAAACCAAAGGGGTCGAAATCCCCTGTCAATCCGGCCTGTAATCTAGCCGAAAACTAGCCGGATTGCTCTGGCCGGATTGCGGCTAGAGGCCAAAACCTAAAATTTTTTTTCCTCCCCTGCATATCTGGTCTTGTATCCGGCCAGAAGTTGGCCGGATTCGTGAACAGTAACTTCGTTAACATTTTTCTTCTTCGCTCAAATTCGGTACTCGTCTCAAATCAAGTCAAACACATAAAACAGTTAATCCCTAACTCAATGTATGCATGCCATAACATATCCATGTCATATACATATGAGGAAATATAATCCCACATTTACATTATACAACTCCAAAAGATTCTTGAATTCATATACATCAAGGCTTTTCCAAATATTCGAGAAGCGATTCAAAACAAAAGGCCTAACTAGCTCAACTCGTTTTCTCAAAACTTGGTTCAGAAAGTGTCCCTGTACGGAAAACAAAACAATGGGGGTGAGCTTACGCTCGTGAGGTACCAAAACTCATAAGCACACTATGCATGGCCAACAAACACACAAATGCTTTTATCATAACAACCACATATAAAAGGATACGGTCGACCCTCAAGGGCCGTTTTCCAATTGCCGTACTTGATCATACCCGTTGACACTCCGTCAACCGTTGAAGAGAAAACAAGACCATAGACTCCTCTTTACACCGTTTCCTTCCACCGTTCACCCCTTATCGAGCCCGAACACCTTACAGTTACAAAAGGTAATACTCGAGTATACCATACGGTCGAGGAGTTAGCACTCCACTCGACTAACAGTGACCCGAAGGTTCGTTATCGATTTTCCCAAGCCCTTGCCGGCTCGACTCGAATAACGACCTAAGGAAATGAGCTCAGATTTCACAGTAATAATCGGGCATAGCCCTAGCAGATGTCAAATCATGCATATATACCATTTCACAGTCAAACAGTAATAGTAATACAAATAAGTGATCGAGAGCGATGAAGTACACTCTCGTCCCATTCGAGTCATTCAAGTCACATAACAAGTATAATAGACCATACAATGATACACTCACCGAAGCAATCAAGCAATTCACACGTTTGCATCAGACGTAGGCCCCGGATCACCGGTACGACCTAAACAAGCAAGAAAAGCATGTTTGAGACTCAATCACGAGTCAACATAGGAACATCAAATTACTAGTATAAAATGCCCAAATGTAAAATGGGGTGATAATAATGTGGAACGTGAACAACTCCAAGATTCTTTCATTTCTATTCAAATCCCTCTCAATCAAGACCACCTACATTTCTTATCAATTGGGTAGCACTTCCCCATAATTTCTTCACATTTCCAACCTAACAACAACATCCAACGGAACACAAGTGCAAGGGTAACTCATAGGCCATTCCATTCATCTCATTTGAGTCAAAATACCCTTAAATCTCTATTGATTGCAAATGCAAGGGCCAACCATAGTAAAGCCCTAAGTGAAACCCTAAAATCTGAAATTTTCTTACAAAAGCGGAAATTTTCCTCAATCAACTACCATTAACACATAGAGGCTCTAAATTATTCAATCTAAGGCTATCATACCTTAGCTAACTACAATAAACTATATAAAACAGAAAAATTCCCAATAAATAGAAAAATTAGACAGCCCAACCATAATTCATGAAATACTGCACAAAATTGCATCTTTAACTACTAACACCAACAAATTTCACATCATAACCAACAAAGAAAGAATTCCTTAACCACTCACCTTATGAACACAACATACAAGGTAGATGAGAGTCTTTCCCTCCAAACAAAACCACCAAGCACTTCAATACTACCTAGCAAGTAAGTTTTATGGAGAAATTTGGGAGATTAATTGTTGGATTTCAAGATTTGGGCAAGAAAAGGAAGCAAAAAGTGAAGAGCTCTCTCTCTTTTCTCTCCAAGGATGGCTGGCCAAAAAGATGAAAATGGAGAGGAAATTTGGTCAAAAATTGATTTAGTAAAGGTATGAAGACTAGTCAAAATTCTAGCTTCCAATAGAATTGAAACATGTGGCAGTTCTCAAGCTTATCTTACTTCTTTGTCTTGTAATGCTTAATTAAACTAGCTAACTTCTAATTAGCTCATAATAAAAGGTAATAAAATCTCCATATATAAAATTTTCCCCAACTACATTTACTGTACCAATCGCACTAGTGGGTCCCACATCCACAGTACACCCCTATCACCACAGAAAAAGTCTTATTTCAGAAAAAATGATTTAAAATTCATATTTTCTCATAAAATCCCCAGAAAATACACATATTAAGGAAAACACCAAAATTAAGCCCAAAAGCCTAAAATAAACGCCTAGAAAATAAGAAAATTTTCTGGGTCTCACAGCCAGGCCATATGGGCCACATAGTTAGTCCCTACGCTGAGCTGAACGGGGGTCCTAGTTTCGGCCATCACTGAAGATTACAAACCCATGATTTGGCTAAGGGGCCCATGGCCCATTATTAGTTTAGTAGATTGTAATAAAGAGGTCCAACTAGCTTGTGGTTGGGACCTTAGTCATTGTTAGTCCTTGGGTCAATGGGCTAGTGATATGGTCCTCGATTAACTCATTTCGAGACAAGTAGCACGTTTGCCCAAGGATCTAGTGAGGTTGTCCAATGTTTGGATTGCGGGACCTAGAACCAATACAGATGACACGAATTGGTAGAAGGCGGTAGAACGATGACTCCAATTGAAGGTGATTACTCCAGTGGATAGGTCGGTAGAACAATCAAGGACAAGATGCAAGATTACTCAAACACCCTTTCCAAGAGCAAGTAAAGACTTGAAATTCTCACAAGGAAGAAAGTCGAAATTCTAAGCAGATTTTATTCATAAAACATCTACCTTAAAACCTTACAAAGCAAGCCTTTTTATAGGCTAAGGGTTAATAAAACCTAAGGAAAATAGGAAAGGGAATTCGGCCATCTTGGGTCAAGATGGGCCCGCCCATGCTCTACTAAAACAAACTAATCCAACTCTAATTAACCGTGCCCTAATACTAAGACCTAAGGCCCTATTCGGCCAACTCACTTGGAGGCCCACTTGACTCTTCATGGGCTTGGATCATGGTGTAGATAACTTGATTGTCTCCTTCCAAGCCTTCAATATCTCTATGGACTCCATGTTGGTCTTGGACAATTCGAACAAGGGCTTGGAGGGATTCTTTGAAGAGCTTGGCTCGTGCACGTGTGACTGGGCCTAATGGAACCCGGACTGGGTCATTGCATGGGCTGAGATCCGTGCACACATCAGCTAGGCCATGTGGGCCACATTAGTGAGTAGTTGGACAAACTAAAGTTGTCAATCGCACACTTGGCACACTATTTCGGGCTTTGATTAAGAAGAATCTTAAAACTTGGGAAGAGTGCTTGCCTCATGTTGAATTTGCCTACAATCGAACTGTTCACAGTGCTACACACTACTCACCTTTTGAGATTGTTTATGGCTTTAACCCGCTGACCCCCCTTGATTTGGCACCCTTACCTTCCTCTGAGCAAATCTGTGACAGCCCCATCTTCCCCTAAGGCGAACCAAAGGGGTTAGCGGACTGCCTGCCCAGCTCTCGCCAGGACTAACTGTGCAGTTTAGAGCGATCTATTGCGTTCCGGAACTTATAACGCGCGTAAACAAGTCAAAATGGCAAAATAACCCAAAATACAAAAAAATGAAATCCGGAGTCGGCCATGAATAGTAACCGACCCGTCAGAACCCAATCAAACATCAAAATACATATACAACATAACATTTAGTATTTACAA